GTCTCTACAACAAGTTTCAACTTTTATACCATCAAATCTCGTTTATTCAATTCGGTCATTTCTATATCTTCACAAATATATGTTACTATAATTTATTCTTCGTATAAGTTGAACTCCACTCTTTTGTTCAGAAAATTAGTATCACATTTTTATTTTCCATTTGTCAACTTCACATAAATGAAGTCGATCATCATCACTTTTTCCATCTGCTATTTCATTTCTACTGAAATTGATAATGAATAAGTTTCCCAAAATATTAGTGTTCCACTTTAAAGTGTTTCATTTTATAATTTAGTGTCATCAGTCATTACGATTATTGATAGTAACAATCGAAACGTCGTGAAGTAACTTAGCTTGGAATCTCTTAACTTTTTATTTTATTTTTATATTTTTGTTCAATTCGTTCCCTTTTTACTTGTATTTTATTTCATTATTATTTCATTTCAGGTTTTTTTTTGCTTAATATAATTGTTTTTTCAGCTCTTCATTTTTATTATTGTTCTTTGATTGTTTAAATTCTTTTTTCAGTTCTTTCAGGGATTTCAAATCATTTTATATAATATCAGATAATGGAAGTCCGAACTAATGAAATTCAATAAAATATATGTTTCATAGAAATGTGATTTATTTTACTTCTCTCTCATTCTACGTTATATTTTATTGTTTTCAATGAAACTCTCTGTGAGTATTACTCACAGTAAGTGATTTTTAAATGTGAAAGAAGGCAAAAAATTACTGGATCTAGATCTTGAATCAGAATTTGTACTTGCGTTGAGTGATTTATAAGTTGAGAAGTAAGAAAAAATGATTGAACTTTGCTTAGAACTACCATATATTTATGAAATTAACAAAAACAAAACGCCTCACTTCTCGTAAACAATCGCGACATGTTTTATTTTTTGTAAATGATTACCGAATGTGCCTTTTATAAATATATTTTTATATCATTCGCTAATTTTTGTCTCGGTTCAGTGATTTTATCATACTTTTCAACTCGGAAATCACACAACACAAGAACAAATTTCCATTCAGAACTCCGATCAGTCATTACTCTATATCTTCTGCTTCCATGGAGCAAAATGAATGTATAGAAGATGCCAAAGTGACAAGCTATGTGATGAATAGCATCCTTGATCAGTGAAAATATTTGTATATTCAATACTTTATCATTGAAAAATAATGAAAACAATGTTTTAATGAAATTAGAAAAAATCTTGTATGTAACACGAAAGGATTTCATGGGCACAAAATCAAACTTTTCGTAACTCTTTACATGAATAGCTATTCTAGAAGTATGACCAGGCATAAAATGCATCAAATATACTAATTTCACAAACCTATTCTGATAAAAAATATAAATAAAATTTTTTTTTACAAAGCTACATTCTTTGGAATCCCAAACTCAACTGCAAACAAGAGAAACCTAAAATGAGATTGGAAATTTGCACATCATTTTTGTATTTTCAATTTTTAACGCACACTGCCACTGCGATCTTTGGCTCCGCCACTGAGAAACGAATGAAACCAGCGCAGCGTTGCCAAGTGATGAACAAGCGAATGTGGGCATTCAGTAAGAAATGCAGTACTTTATTCTTTTCCCACTTATTTCGAGTGTTTACTTCCGCTACCCGCCAGCAGGGACGTGCGTCTTCAATTAATTTGGTTAGAGAGAGTAAAGCAAGAAGAGAGATGAAAATATCGTTGACAGATAATAATTTAGTCACGTGCTACCACGGCCTCTTAAGAAACAGCCTTTACAATTCTAGCGACATTATTGTGCCAAAACATATTGGTGTCCATTTTGACCCCCAACGAACTTATCGAAGCAGAAAGTGGAATTGTCTGACTTGACATTATTATATCCGGTTCAGAAACATATATCTTTTTGGAGAAAACCGATGCCTGAATTGTTGTGGCATTGAATTGGTCTCACACCAGTTCGAAATTACTTCTAGATCGTCATTAAGATATGTATCAACGTCCTACTGCCGGTGAAGATGTGCATCCGCAGCCGATATCCTGGAATCCAAATGGAATGACTGTGCTGTGCTGTGGTCAGCAAAGCAATATATCGGAATTTTGGTTTATTCCAATTAGTCGTTGATATACAATAAAAAGAGGGTTGGAGACAATATGGATCCCTGAGGAACACCAGCGTTGATGCTGAAAGTATTCGAGAGATATCCATCGACGGCCACTTGCAGGGAATGTCCTTGCAGGAAGCTGAGGAGCCACACACAATAATGATCCGACAAGCCATAGCATCACAGTTTGTCCAGGAAACCCTCATGTCACAAACGGTCGAAAGCCTTATAAATATCAAGCGCAATATCTATTGACTCTTCTTGTTTCTCGATTGCGTTATTCCAAATATGGGTGACATACGATAGAAGGTCCCCTGGTGATCTTTGTTTTCGAAAGCCATATTGATGATCGCTCAACATGTTGAAGCCTTCCATATATTTGAGGATTTGATGGTTTACGGCTTTCTCTTTGATTTTTTGATATCACTAATAGCAAAGCGACTGGTCTATAGTAATTTGGAAGATTTTTCTTGACCCTTTTCGGGAATAGGCTGAACGCGAGCAATCTTCCAACAAGAAGGAAAAACCCCTTTTTTGTATGACAGGTTGAAAAGTCTGCAAAATACTGGTGCGAGTTCATTTGCGCACTTTTTGAGTACGATGACGGGCACATCATCAGGACCAGAAGCCTTGTTTATATTGAGCTGTCTCAAAATTCGCCTGACTAGACGTTGTCGAAAAATAATTTCGGTATTATAGATTCTGGTGTGGGAATTGTGGGTGGTGCCTTTTTCGGAAAATCGACTGTGGAGTGAGACGCAAATTGTTCAGCTATTAGATTTGCTTCTTCTATGGCTGTTGTTGCAATTGAACCATCCGCTTGTGTTGGTGTTGGAATTGTGAATTTTGTAAAGTTTTGATCATCAGCTTCAGCTACTGACCAGAAGGATCTAGACCTATTGTGATTGGCAAGCAGTTTATCCCTGATTCTCTGATTGTGCTTTGCTTTCATTTATTCTAAGTTTGCAGCTGTTGCGAGCATTAACAAAAGTAGTTCGGTTTTAGGCACTTTGTATAGATTATATTGGATATTCATCTTTTTAAAAGTGTAGTACTATAGTACTAGTCAAGCCCTGTCGTTTGATACCCATATTGAGGTAGCTGTGAAAAAAGATGTAATCCGCCATTTTGTAGCTGCGGGCATCTTGAATTTGCATCTTATTGAAGTGTACAACTATTTTACTAATCAAGCCCTGCCTTTTGATACCCATATTAAGGTAGCTGTGAAAAAACGATGTAATTCGCTATTTTGTAGCTGCGATCATCTTAAATTTGCATCTTTTTCAAAGTTTACAACTATCCTACTCATCAAGTCCTGTCTTTTGATACCTATATTGAGGTAGCTGTGAAAAAAAAAATGTAATCCGCCATTTTGTAGCTGCGGCCATCTTGGATTTACAACGATACAGAATTTATTGAAATGTATTGTCATTAAAACTAAATGTGTGTACCAGATATCAGATCAATCTGTTTGAACCAAACAAACAGGGCAAGCTGAATTAAATCGTTTAATAATAAATCATTCGACAACGAAAAAAGGCCCCAATACAGAAAAACGTTTAGACAATATCGTTTGGTATTCAACGTCATCTGAATGTTATTCACTACGTTGGAATGGGATCTGAATTCTGTTCGTTTTACCCGCGAGCTGACCTGGAAAATATATTTTTGGCGGTCGGCGGCTTATTTTGATGTCGCTCCAACCATAAAAGAGAATAAATGGGATCATTAGAAAGGGTTATGTAGGCGGTTTTTTACTCGATTTGTCGTCGACTAAATCTCTGTCGTCGCAGTGGAAACCGACCGATTTGACAGTTTTGGCTGTGGCTCTACTTTATCACAAGGGTGATTTAACCAATAAGCTGCTTGATGTATCAACATGAATATGAACAAATTGAAGGCTTGCGACAGTCAGTGTTACTGATTGGAGGGAGATTTAGTGTTTTCGAAGCTCATTATGTGTCCTGGCTTGGACATTAACCTGACTTTCAGTATATATATTCCCTTTCCTCTTTCACCACGACTAGTTACTGAAGTCTGCTGTGTCATTTACAATCACAATATTTTATACAATATTGGGCAAGAGCCACAAGTCAGCTTTTATACTCCTGATTTATCCGAAACCAATGTTTTGTATTTATTGTTTTTAATAAATTTACTTAGACTATTATTCGTCCTGTAAGCTATGTTGACTCATTCTTTCTTCAAAAACGGGCAATATTATTGGTGGGTAACCCCAAATATGACAATGTCTTATAACTGACGTTATCGCAACTTGAATTTGGGTAGACCTGGTCCATGGCTTGCTTTGATCAAACTCAGCTCTCTCTAGAAATTACGCTGGGACAGTGAAATATTCAATAGTCTGCGAAGCATACTATTAGATGCAGCTATTTTATGCTGATAAGGGTGATCGAGATAAAAAATTTAGGATTGTGTTTCGATCCAGAACTAAGTTTCGCTAAACATGTCAGTTATCTGAATCAAACATTTTTTAACCTTCTCAGACAGCTGTTTCTAAATCGTGATTCCCCCGACACAAACTTAAAACTTAGAAAATGCGAGTCATTAATCATGTCAAAAATTTCCTATTGCTACAGCATTTGGGACCTGTTCTAAGACAATCGGATGATCTTCGACTTGGTATCCGGAAATATGACCATATATTCTCTGCCGTGCAAGAATTAGGATAGTTGAAAGTTGAGACACTCAGAACAATGCATATACTCACCAACAACACAAAGTTCTGTAATTTCGCATGGTACAACGTTAAATTATCAGAGAGTATATACCATCTGTTAAACAATTTCATCAAAGAGTTTTATTTTCTTTGCATAATGAGTTCTGTTCTCATCATATCTCGGTCTTCCCTAAGCCATATATTGTTTTTAGAGTCATGTAAAAAATATCACTTACTTGTCAACACAATGAGCCGCAGTCAGCACCCAAAGTTCGTTGATCAAAACGCCCCCACAGTGGAAAATCCCGTTTTTGTAGATCGACACCAACCATGGCCATGCTGCTGGTTGACTGGGTTTGCCACCAACTACCCTAGGTGTTCCCAAAGTGAAGTTTTTTTCCTTTTCTTCCTCAAATCTTGATACAGCATCTTCATCCATGTTAGTTTCGTCATGTTTGTCATCACCTTCATTAGGAAGACGTGCGTCCCTCTCCAGATCACCAATGATATTTTCAACGCTTATGTCTACTTCTTGAGGTCGGTATGGGTTTTTCATAGTCATTCTCAAGCCGCAGTACATTGGTGGGCATTCGACAAAAGCTGCTCTATCTTGAACGCAGGTTTTGACTAGGCTTACTTCATTGTTTGGTAATATGTTGATAAAAAGGCCCTGATAGTTGTTCATTGTCAGCATCATGTGTGATCGAGGATTGCTAAAAAATCGTTAAGACAAAATTAGAAGTGAATTTTACTGAACTATGAAAACTAAAGAAGAAGCGTATGGAAAAACATTTTTGAATTCATATGTTGATAACTCCATAAAATAGATACATAAAAATTTTAATTTTTACGAGAATACAAGTCACATATTTGTATTATTCATTATTAAAAATTACGACTTTGGAACTCGAAGTTTTGACTTTTAACTAGAAAGTTTGATTACAATTTCGAAACTACAATTTCAGTTCCTAATTTCATTTCAAAATTGCGAGTTCGAAGTGAAGTTTCGACATTGAACTCATTATTTTGAATTCGAAAACAAATAATTGAAAAAACATTAATTTCATTACACTTTCTACATATTCACCTATGCTCTTTCCACTTTTCTGAAATTGACAGATATTGAAAAACAGTATACAAATATACTGCTCCTGTTTGAAAATTATTTTTATTAATCAGAAGAATCATGAAATACAAATCAATCAACAGAATTTAGCTTATTAAAAGAGAGAAGGAAAGAAAAACACCTCAAAAATGTTGTTTTGTTCCCTCCAGTTTATAAAAGAGGACATATGCTTTCTCACTCACAAGCGATTTTGGTGAAATTGGGGACACGAGTGACTCGTTGTATTCATTCTACGTGCCACTATAAGAGTGTCTGCAATATGCTGTGTAATGCCCGTTGTAAGTAGCCCCACTGTGATTAGAAAGCGTATATAGTTTGTAACGACAAGGAGCCACATTGTCTGCTGCATAATTGCTCATATCTTATCCTTCTAAAAAACTCAATGGCAATATTCAATTTGTCTCTGATCTTTCCGTTGGAGAGAATCTTTTTAAATGAATTACTAAAATACGGAGAAACATAGATCGATAGGAACTTTGTGCATTTTCTTCTTTCCTTGCACCTCGAACAAGTTGGTTTTTCATCTCCATCCAGGGTTTTCCCTTTTGCGAAGAAATCCAAGCACTGTGACAAACTCAATTGGCCAGTTCCTTGTGGTATAGGGAAAGGATCGAAGGTTACTGATGAGAATCCACAGTGTGTGCACTTCATAGTAGATTTTAATTGACCAACGAAATTGTCTACAATCTTAGAGTTGTTCATGTTCATGTATCTCAGCCAGGACTCTTGCGCTTTCCCGCTGTCGCTGAATTTTTCGTCAATCTCCGTTAAGATCGGTCTAGGTTTTTCAGTAATTTCATTGAGGTCCTCATGTAAAGCTTCTAAAAGATATCTTAGGAATTCCTGGGCGTCTTGATGGAAAGAGCTCAAGAATCGAGGGGCAAATCTATGAATCTGACTTTAAAAGTAGGCAGTGTTTATTACTCTATCAGATGAAACTTCTGATCACAGTTCCTTGATAACTTCTGCGAACGCTTTGATTAAAGTATTGATATCTTCCATGTATGTATCCGTTTTCAAATATTCCAACAACCATCTCGTGTTTGATAAACATTGAATCATACTGTTCATGAAACAGGTGTTTCCAATATTTTTTAACCCATTAAACCCAAGAGTTTTGACTGAAGAATGTATCTCTGATCCAATATTGTTTATATTACGTTCTTCATGTTTCTCTGTATCTTCTGATGGGAAATAATGGGGCGTATCACAAGGAATATGGGAGGTTTTATGAGGAAACAATCTTCCATCGTGACAAGGGTATAAATAAGTTTTGGAAACAAAGGGATGAAGAGAAATTTGATCCAGTGAATGTGACGATGGGATGGTGCCAAAAACAGAAGCTGAATTACCACGCGGTATAGCTAAACAAATTTTTTGGATAAGAAAGGTGGTACATCTTTTTTCTTTAGTTTCTTCAGTCATCTTTCTGCCGATTTCCTTGACTAAATTCAGAGATAAGGGTCCAAATACACCCGAAAGTTTCTACAGCCACAGGATAAAATATAAAGTTGTTTCCAAGATTTCGATATTTCTGCTGTTTTGCTTTCTCACTGGTTATGGCAGCAGCACCTGCACTTTTGGACGTTCGAACTAAATGAGATGTTGCCATTGTGTCTACACATGTAAAATTCCAAACGGCAGCTTTGTCACATTTCCAGGGAACAAGGGTCATTCCTTCAGGACGTTTGCCATCATCACGGCTAGTACCTAGTGGTTCTAGAATAGAAGGTATACCGACTGATATCAAGGCCCTTTTTATGATGTCATTGACTTGGTGATGTCTTGCAAAACGATCAGAACTCTTTCTGCAGCTCAAACCATGAGTACCTTTTCTATTCACCTCACTACCACAAATCCATTTATGAAGAGTACAAATATCTAAACCCAATCTGAGTCCAATTGCTACCCTGAAAGTATCATTATCTAGTAGTGTTCCCAGATTAGCAACAGGTAATGCGTTCAACCAAGCACCAGATTCTTCAATATTGATGGATTTGACGCCAGCTTTTTCCGAGGAAGATGACAAAGATGAAGTGATAGAGTCAGAAGCAATTTCTAGTAAAGGTTCGTCCCATGCTTCCTGAAGTGATTTGAGATCCGTAAGCACATGACTTTTGGTTTGAGAACAGTAAATAGATTCGCCTTCGACGGTGAAATTATCTGGAACTGGAAACTAGAAGTATCATTTCTATCAACTGGGAAACATTTTTGATGGAAGACATAAATGCTGGTAAAGCCAGCGATGATGCTGAGCGCAGACCCAACCGTCAATGATTCACAGGCAATGTTGCTTGAGACCAAGAAATATCAGTGAAACAGCTGTTAGTAACATTCTCAATTATGTTACGTAGGTGATCATCAATTTTCTTAAAGTATACTTGACTTCTCCAACAAGGAGAGAATCTTAGAGTATAGAATAGTTTAGGAATGGCTAAACAATTTTTCAATAAAAAAAAGGAAGTATGCATTGGCAAATCGTATAAACGGGTGGAAATCAAGTCAAGGGAATCTGTTTTGTTCTGCAAACTTCCACATAGAGCTTCCATAGTGAGAGGGGCACCAAGTAGATTCCATTTCGATTTTTTCATTAGTTTTATACCAGAAACATCTTCTATAATGTCGGCAAATATTCTGATTCAAGACTTGGAAATTATTTCACAATCATCGAAGTTGAGTTCGAGACCAATTTGTTTTGAACTATTAATAATTATCTCTAAATCCTTCAATATAATGTTAATACCATCTTCAATGCATCCGTCATCTAGATACCAACAGTAGAATTCTGAATTCAGTTTTCTAGTTAGCTCTTGAATGGTCAGGCAAAAAACAACTTGATTTTCCTACCGTTTAGAGTAACCACATCATGTTTTAGATAGAAAAACGATACTTTCATGTTGAAGTATTTCATGGATACTTTCAAGAAATAATAATGAACGGAATTGAAAAATTATTTCTTGTTTGAAATTTTTCCATATACAAAAATAAAACAATTGACCTTATTACCCATTATTCATTATTTTGTTATTCTTATCAACCAAAACTCTCAATAATTTTATTTTGCGAGCCATCAGGGGATTGAGGTTTTGGATTTTGATTTTATTTCAAGGACAAAACACAAGCACTATAGGAAACTCCTTGAGGCGCTTTAAGACCGGTCCCTGTGCAGAGGTAGCGGTTAATATTGGATTTGAATCGCTAGAGATTAATTGCATTTGGAAAAACGTTTTCAGGAAGTTTATTCTACATAAACATAGTTCTCCAAATGAAAAAGTTTTGAAACAGTGAAGTTCGACGTATACTGAGTTGAACCTCAAAACGATGAGCGGCGACAGTCCGTCGCGTATTTTTGATTTGTACCGCTTTTCGTGGAATCAAAAATGCTTAGTCACTTGAACACCTCCCGTAAAAGTATCTATTGAAGAGAGACAAAACTCCAACCTTTCTTCGATGTTCCAAACTATCAGGGCTTCAAGTGATGTTCGCGTCTCCAATCACGTCTCCGTCGCGTATTTCCTAATGCAAATCTTTCGAAAATATAGGGGTACGGAGACATAGTGATGAAAAGGTAATCTTGATATGTAAACTCACCCCTTTTACCCCCACGGGATAAGCATTAGTTGGAATATTTGAAAATCCTTTCTTAGTGCCCATCTGAGACCTAAGAAGCAATAAAAAACCAAATTTTGGACAGAGATGAATTTAAAAAAATCTGTTCAAAATCTGTTTTTTCGTTATTCAGCTGTCGCCCCCATACGAACGACAACTCTCAGAAGTTGGGAAACTTGTGCGAGCTAAGAACTAAAGAGTTCTTACCTTTCAACCTGTGATTCCTAACACGATTGCAGAATCATCCCAGCTTCAACCAGATAAATTCTCTCGAGAAAAATATCTGGTCGAGGCGGGAATCGAACCCACGGCCTTACGATCCTGAGTCGGACGCACTACCACCGCGGTCAATTAACTTTATGTAAGTGAGTTTTGCATTCATAAGTATAGATAAGTTCGAAACTAAATTGACTAACCATAAATATAATATCTATAAAAATAAGTAAAATGGTCCGTTTCATCTCGTTATCCTTTCAAATGTTGAAAGTACTTTGGGTTGTAGACAAAGGACAGAATTTTCAGACAAATTCTTCACTGAGGAGAACCTCAATCGAATCCGACGGAATTTGGTGGTATAAAATTCTATGTTATATTTTCTAATTGCCAGAAATTCATTTTTTGTGGTGGAGTATAGAGTATAACGCCCAAAGGGGGAAAAGGAATAGCGAAGAAGCTAAGAGAAAAAATAACGAAGCTAACTATACGCCTGTATCGCAAATGACAAAACTATTACCTAGACAGAAATGTAACAGTTTATGAATGCTTATTTTTGAAACGATCATAATATTGTTCATGCTATATTTTATTTTTGTATAAGATAATGATGCCTCCTTTATTCGAATACAAATTGAAATCATTCCTGAGAAGAATATTCCTATTATGATTTTGTAGAGTGGGAGAAAACGGATATTTTTCCAATATCAAAATTCCTATGGGGCGGATTTGGCACTTTTTTACAGATTATAATAAAGTTGCTATTTTCTCTGTAATTTTAGTCATACAACCATTTGAATAGAATATTGTTTTTGTACAACTGTCATTAGAAGTGACATTTAGTAATAGTAATAGTATCAAAAGATGATGTTTACACAGAGCGTGTTAGAAATATTTTTGACACTAGTGTTAAAAGTATTTTTAACACCAGTGTTGAGATTATTCTTTCAGCAATAGCTTTCCATAAGAAACAGATTGATCGATGTAACCCTCAGCTACTGCTGTAGACTTCCATCCTCCGTGCTTCTGAATATCCGTTAAATTTGCTCCTGATTCTGCTAGCAAAGAAATAGTGACTTGAATATTCCTTTGGTTTCGGGAGGTTCAGAAACTCGACAATGGTAGAGGGCATTTTCCGCAACGTGTTTATACCAACTGGGTTGGCACTGCATTTATACTTTGAGTATTTCAGAAGGAAACGTTGATGAGTGATAACAGAAGGGCGTAATGCAACGTATTTATTAAAATCGTCAATGTTTTTTCCAACAATGCAAAATGAACGACCTATTTTCGTTTATGTATTTGAAATTTGACCAATCAGTGATTTATCCATTAATTCAATGTTCTATTGATAAATCTGAAAGAGTTTTTCATTTTTTGGGCCCATAACTTTCATTTTTGCGGGTTCAAGAATGCTACTACCTTGAAATATTTTCTTGTATTAACACCATTTTAAACGAGCGCACTCGACTTTTTCATTGAAAACTTGCTCCAAAAAGTTGATAAGTTCCATATTATTTATTTCTCTTCTTGATAGGCTAAGAAGACGGTTTCTCTGTTTTCAAGTCTACACCAGTTAAGAAAATTAGAATATGCGATGTCGTACTGCTGAGTGAAATTTTTTTAACAATTACATTGAAGCTCTTTTTGCAGCCTCTTCAATATCGTCAGGAACACACAATTCCTCACTATTGTTCTTCATTGTGCAATAATGTGTATTTTCTATAATGTTTTCCAGATTGGTACTGCAGAGTCCTAAGACAAGTGTCTTACGGCGAAACATCGGTGTCTACCAGTGACGATGACAGTGTTCCATGTAAGTGCAATTTGTTATCATTCATTCAAAGTAGAACTCATGTGAATGATATCTGATTTTATTCCATAACGAATGTTTGGAGTACAAACTGAGTAGAGAAAAGTATCTTCTGTATAATTCAGTATTCATATACAAGTATTTGTTTCGAAAGCTCTTTTTCTTTCGTTTAATTCAATGTTTATATTAAAATAGCTGTTTCAGGAGGGTTTTCTTCCAGTTTGTGTCTGAAAGTTGCTTCTTTGCATGATCTACACATCCATTTATAGAGTTACTTATTTTAAAATTGATTACTTCCTTCCTTACTTTGGAAGATTTCCACAGTTTTTTCTATCAAGATGGAGTAGTAGAAAGCCAAAAACTTTCTTTCCCAAAACATACGCAAAACGATCAAAAACTCACAAAAAACGATCGAAGACGCACGCAAAACGATCGAAGACGCACGCAAAACGATCGAAGATGCACGCGTTCGCGTTTCTTTCGACCATTTTTCGTGCGTTTTCGATCGTTTTGCGTGCATGTTCGATCGTTTTGCGTGCGTCTTCGATCGTTTTTCATGTGTTTACGATCGTTTTTCGTGTGTTTCCGACCGTTTTCGACCGTTATACCTTGCTTCTGTTAGTTGAATTTCCGGTGTAATAGAAACCGCCTTGTTCATCTACTGACATAACTGAACTGCTTTTCATATACCCTTACCACATTATATTTTTTATCAGAAAACGGAAAACATTATATTCATCTTATTCTGTTCAGAAAAAAAAAACCTAACTTTGATACAGCACGCTTCCAGTGGGTACTGTATATTGAAAAATATTTCAAATGAGGATATTGCCTTAAAAGAAACTTGGAGTGACATAACCTCTATGTGCCACTAATTGCCACCATTATAAGTGGGTGTTTTTCTCTATCAGTAACGGTTATTTCACCGTTGCATTCATCAATTTGTCAACGTTTATTTATGAAGCATTATTTCAAATAGAAACTCACATTGAACTAGGGCCAGACTCGGTTTTACATATTTCCAGGGCCCAGAGTTCTGTTCCAAAACAGGTTGGATACCATTTGCCTCTGAAATTTCTATGCAGGAACCCAACTGCGTTGGAAATCTTGTTCTGGGGCTGGTTACCCACATTATCCGCCAGAGCAGAACAGTCCTCTTCATCTTTTCCTGTGATTTCACATTGTCGAATATTATCACATCGTTGTCGTATAGGAATGCAAGTACTAGGGCGAAGCTTCGACCAATCATCACAGCTGAATTCATCTTCATCACAACCTGTAATACAGAAGAGAGTTTGAGAAAACTACAGAAAGCACATTTCTAATACGATTGGAAACAATAAGTAACGTTTTGAACTAGTGAATGAATGCATAGAAGATTTATTAATATTTTTTGGAGTGGGTTAAAAACAATGTAAAAATATTTCTTGTTTATTGAAATGTATTTTCATTGATTTCACAAACTACACCAGAAATGCCATCTGCTAAAGATTTATAATACTAGGGACTAGAACTTAAAAAAAAAGTATTTTTGACAATAAATCGGAATAAAAAGTGGGCGCCTTGTGCCATATTTTTTGTATATCAACCGCCCGTCGCTTTTTTCACAATAATACTAGTATTTTTCGTTCGTTACTGTTTTAAGCTTATTTAAAAAAAATATTTTTAACTTTTTAGTTCGATGTTCTACGAAAGCGTGTTTTTTAGTTTTTTTAAACTATATTTATTATTACTTTGGAGCTCTCTAACTTGTCTACTTCCCCCAAACCTTCGGGAAATAGTGCAACCTCATGGGCTCATTGCTTTTTTTCTTTTATGTCATGACACTCAAAGCAACAATATTGTTTCTGTAACTAATTTCCACAGAGTCAACTTGTTGGATAAATAGGGTGTTTCAAATTCGATCCTCTCGGAAACTACGAGAGATACGAAGATGGTTGAATTGGAAGAAAGTTGCGCATTTACCTGACTAACAATATGCCGTTGAGAAAGTTCTGAAATTCCAAGTATATCCGGAGATATTCCGAAAAATCAGAAATTTGGAAAATGGTTTTTATTTTTTTTCTAGCTTTATTTTTCGAAGGATTCGAAAATAAATTGAACTTTCACACTGCCACTTTTTCCCTGCTACATAATGGTGTTTTCAGACTTACTATCCGACGTTTCGTCTCCAGGCCACCATCATCAACTTTCTTTTTTCTAAAGGACGCTACATTGGATTCTTTCTGTTTTGAATAAAACCAGATTTTACCTTTTCAATAATGTATTATAAGTTATCATTTTTTTCGAAAAATTGGATATATTGAAAAAATTTATTCTTATTATAATACGCTTTGACTTTATTGTTTCTAAATTTCACTTTCAATTTGTTACACTCAATGACATTTTGTTTTTGTTCAACTCATTGAATTTTTGGCGAAAAAATGGCTTTTACGAATGAAGAAAAAAGAGATATGATACAAATTTATTACAAATACGATAAAAACATCGGACATCGGAAATGTATTTGAACTTGTATCACGAAAGACGACAACTACATCGAACTATGTTCAAGTTATTTGATTAAAATCTCATTGAGTTTGGTTCGTTTGAAAAGCCAACGACAAACTACAGAGACAGAATCAACAATCAAAATTCGATAAATAAGGTGTGTATGAGATTGTGCACTGCACGATTAATTTTCCTCCTTCTCAATCTTACGAACTCTCTAACAATGATGTGTTGAAGATCGTCAATATTTTGATATTTCCTCTGACCATAAACTCTATTCTCCAGTTTACCCGATGAGAATGTATTCATAATAGTTGAGTCTGGAGACCTTGCTGGCTACCTCACCGACCAATTATTCCCTATCCATTTATCACCAAACCGTTCCGTCAGGTGGAACACCATCATGTTGAAACCAGATGTTATAGGTAGCCAAAGGTACACCATCTTAATAGTCTTCGAAAATTGACATAAAAAACTGGTGATACGTTTCTCCATTCAGAATTCCGTCAAATGAATGAGGACACAAAATTATATCCTGCCCACACGTTATTACTGAATCGTGCTTTCATCTGTCCAAATTACATTCTCCAGGAGAACAGGAAAATCAGGTCTTCTTATTAGCCAATTACAAAATTCTAATCGCCTTTCGGGATCATCTGGATGCAACTTTTGAGATATGTGTATTTTGTAATATTTTGGACAGCTTTTTTTGAGATGTCTGCAAGCACTTGTATGACGAATATTCATTTCGGAGGAAATATGACGTGTAGGTTTTCCCGGGTTCATGTTTATCTGCAAATCATTAATTTTCATTGAAAAGGACACAATGTCTATCTCATCTTTTTCGAAATTTCTGTTTTTTTCCGTTAATCGGGAAAACGCGCAACTTTGTCCCAATTCAACCATCTTCGTATCTCTCATAGTTTCCGAGATCCCAATGGTAAGGATCGAATTTGAAACACCCTGTATGTCGCATTTTCCTGAACATAATTTGGATTGTCCATAAACTGTTTGCTTTCTGTGATCCACTGCCTCACGTTTGGATAAAATTGACGATCTACTTTAGATTCTTTACTGCATTCCCCATATAGGTAAGGTATGCGTTATACAGCCCTCTTCTTTCAAGTGTCTTCTCAATGATAAGTGTCTAGTGAGTAGCCTCCTCATTGTTCAGAGCTGATCCCTTAGTTTTTTTGTCGGTACTTTTATTAAGGTTTTCTCAGTACTCTTCATATTTTTCCCACTTTACGATCCTGTGTATCCTTTGGCTACCTGTGAAAAAATGTTTCCTCTTATTTCGATGGCGTCTCAAATCATTATACTCTACACATTGTTAGTTTGTATACATTCAGTCTGGAATACAGATATGTACTGATGGAGTAACTGAAGATTTCTTCAGACACAGTGAAATCCAGCTCCTGTTCCATGTTCCGTTTTCCACCATCTGTATATCAGGTGTTTTTGTAAAGCATGTTCTCGGTATGACTGTTCATTCTCCACTCTTCGCAGTACAAGATTTCAACCAGAATGTGTGGGTCGGACATGTATTTTGGTATCATGTGGCCTGTGAACATGTCGTGTTTATTCCTCCACATATTTTCAAACTTCTTCTCTGCGCAACCCCATCTGACACGGTGAATTCTCTAACCTGCACACTATTGCTTTCTACATTCTCCAAGATAAAAGGTTGGGACCAGAACGTGTTGCCATTGTCTATGTTGCAGTTGTATCCATTGCTTCTGTGATTCTCAAATATGCAAGTCTTTTCCCTCTCCTTGGCTTGTTTCAGCTTTGGCTACCATTCAACAAATGCATATTTTACCATGAGTTAAACCACCATGGTGTACAGTCAGTATATCATGTCTGGTTTCTGACCCCATATCTTTTCTTGACTTTATCTGGTCAACATCGCCTTCATATTTTGTTTTTTCAATGTTAGTTCCAGTTTATCCTGAGATTTGGTATCACTCCCAGATACTTAACCCCTTCATCTAAGAAGTTTTAGAGGTCCTAGACTCTCTATTTAACCCTTTTGGTGAATACTTACCTATTATCATTCAAGTTAATTGAATTGAAGAGACTATAAGAACGTTTTATCAAAAATGACTTTCTGTAGATGCATTTCTGGACAATATATTGCACGCAGGTTTCGAAATACAAAGTTTGATTCGTGTTTCGTTCCAATGGGTGAAGAATCGACGTTGAAATCAAATGGAGATGGAGATGTATGAAAATAGTACTAAAGAATTTTTGAAAGAAGGTAGTTTTACGAATGAATTGAAACTTGTGAAATCAATACGCAGTAAAATTAACAAAAATTATATTATAATGATTAGAGCAGATAAAGTCAACACTGTGGTTGCCATTGACCGAATTGACTGAGTCCAAAAACCCTTGATTTCTTGAATTTGGGAAATTTTGAAATATTGAAACGTGATCCAACTAATTCTTTCCAAAGTCAAGTGAAAGATTTTTTAAAAAAGTCAAACATACTTTTATTGAAAGGCAAAAATTCAAATTACCATTGATGAACCTCCAATTTCCAAAATTATACTCACATAAAAAGAGCACAAACAAAGTTATCCAATTAGACCAGTGGTTTCCTTTGTCACTGCACCATCAGTTAAATTATCAGAAAGGCTAATCAGTATCATCCTGAACAATTGTAACTTTCAACCAGAATTTAGTCTACGGTATTTATATGACTTGATCAATAAAATAGAGAACATAACTCTACCATACAACGCAAAATTACTATCCTTTGATGTGCAGAATCCATTTTCCAGCATACCTCCTGATCTATTTAAAATCTGTTTAAAATCTGTTTTTCCGTTAATCAGCTGTCGCCCCCATACGAACGCCCTCTCAGAAGTTGAGAAACTTGTGCGAGCTAAGGACTAACGAGGTCTTACCTTTTAACGTGTGATTCTTAACATGGTTGCAGAATCATCCCAGCTTCAACCAGATAAATTCTCTCGAGAAAAATATGTGGTCGAGGCTGGAATCGAACCCACGGTCTTCCGATCGTGAGTCGGGCGCACTACCACCGCGGCCAATTCCATAACTAAATATGATGATACTATTACTTTAGTAAAAGAACTATTAGATAAGAATAGAGTGAACCCAGTTATAAAACAAGAAATCATTGACCTTCTATCGTTATGTGTCATACAAAATTATTTTCAATTTAATAACTATATTCATTCCTCTTTAAAATGTTTAACTATGGAATCCGTTAAGCCCCTTATTTGTGTAAATTTTCATGGACTAGAGAAGTAGATTTTCAAACATCCTTTGATTAAGAAATTCTTGTATTGGCATAGATATGTGGATGGCGTTTTGGTAAGTTTTATAGGTACTAAGAGACAATTAGATATGTTTCATAGGGATATTAACAAAATTCATGAAAACATTAAATTCACTATTGAAGTAGAAGCAGACAACTCAAACTCTATAAATTTCTTGGACTTAACAATTAGTAGAATGAACAACAAACATGATTTTTCAATTTATCACAAACCGTCCTATACGGATATTACTACACATTACGATTCTACCCATCCATATTAACACAAAATAGCAGCATATAATAGCATGATTCACAGATTAGTCAATGTTTCTCTTTCAATAGATAATTTGAATGAAGAACCTAATATCATCAAGCAAATTGAAGTAAACAGTGGGTTTAAAGCCGAATTAATAAACAGAATATTTTCAAAAAAGTCTACGCAAAAGCGATTCGAGACGTTTTTTCTATTGATAAGTTAGATAATCAAAATTATAGAGCTTTAACGTATTTTGGACAAACAACAGAAAAAGTGGCTTCGTTTTTGAGGAAACGAGATATTAAAATTGCATATAGAACAAGTAATACGTTGGGAAAACTGGTTAAAAATTATAAAGATAAAACATCCAAATTCGAGAAATTAGGAGTATATAAATTAAAGTGTGAAACGTGTCCAAAGGTATATATTTGTCAAACTGGCAGAACATTCAGGAATCGAATCCAGGACAACCATATTATGAGCTATGTGAATAAGAAAACAAGTTCAACATATTCAAATCATCTTTTAGAAGAAAATCATATCTTTAACGAAGCATCAAAATTTCACACATAGAAAATAAAGGTATGAAACTGAATCATTTGGAAGCAATGGAAGTTAATAAACTTAAAAATTCAAACACTCTAATGAATGACCAAATGGATTTGAATAGATCAACATTATTGAATTTTTCTTAAAAAAACGAGGAAGTATTATTATTGATGTAGAGGTGAGGTAATATGCTTCAGGTAATCATAATTGAAGAGGTACCTCAGGTATAGTTTAGGTGTAGTAAGGTGTAATTTATGAAAAAAAAGGAGATGGTTAATGAACTGCGTTATATTTTCGTAAATATTCAGTGGTGATCTGATTTTATGAAAATATCGGTCATACTTGTCAGGTTCAGAATAGAACAAGAAAACCACTGAGTCACATTTCATTTAGAATTAATAATAAAAAAGTTTCAATTGGGGCAGATTTCAATAGTGCCACTATATGAATGTAAATATCTATTACATTCAAAAACCTTCCCAAAAAAAGAAAATTGACATTATAAAAATGATTCCAATTTTTTTTACGATTTCAGTGGAACTAACCATGTCCCATAGGAATTATTCTTACCGAAACATCCCAATTCGTCTTCTCCTTCTGGACAATCGAAATAACCATCACAGTTCCTCAGTTTTCCAACACGCTCTTTGCAGGTACAGAACACTTCGTCGCTTCCATCATCGCAGTGTGCCACATTATCGCAAACTAGATGTTTTGGTAAACACTTACTTCCATCTCGGCAAGCTTTTTGCCCAAAGGAGCAGATTATTGATGCTTCTCTGGTTTTGTTTCTGGAATTCAATAATTTTATACTCGTACAGTAACAGGTTATGGATGTTTGAAAATGATTTTTCCTTTCATATAATTCACGAACTCAATCTAGTATATCTGAAAACTAATAATCATACAAAAATTTCAAGAAATTCGGACATCGATTTTGATGGGAAATATGTGACATTAGTATTGTTATATGAAAATTATTATGATGACAAAAGTGACATTATCAGAAAGCATTCAATGAATTATTTATACAGCGCATAACTATCTTGAATTGAATATACAGTGTGTAACAACGAAAACTTAACAGAGCCGTTTTTGAATATAAAAAGTAAGATTTTCAAAAAAAGCTCGGACACGTCGATTTTTAATTGAAGGGGAACACCTTTCAGACTAATCAGATTTTTTGTAGTACGCACCCCCTCGGAGGGGTGCGTCCGACGACCCTTATTTAGATAGGGAAAGTAGGTCGAATGGTCTTTCGAATACCTTCACAACTCTGTTAGAAGAAAATTTTTGTAACGATTAGTTTTCGAGATAATTTGAAGTTAAAATTGCTATGTTAATAATACATTGGACAGACCACTCGGTAACTTGTATGCCTAAATAAAGAAATTTTCGAGCAGTTCTTCTAATCAGTTTTTTGTTAAATAAAATCCCTTTTTTAAATCAATACCCACTCCTCTTCTTCCAGTTTTCATTAGTACTTCGTTCGATTGTTTTGTTTGTGATTGTTTGTTCGTCTATCGTTATTTGTTTAAAAATGCCTTACACTACTGCTGAAAGAGTTTCAGTTATTGCTTCATTTTTAGGCAACGACTAAAATGCTAATAGAACATCAATTTTATTTAACGAGCAAAACACTGGTAAACACCTAAGCAGAAATCACGTTCTGGATTTGGTCACAAAATTCAGGGAGACAGGTTCGGTTTTAAATAAGAAAAGAAATGATCAGAGAAGGGTAGTGAATGACGATAATGCGATTGGAGTGATTGCTCAAGTCATCGCCAATCCCAGGTTAAGTATCAGAGGTTCATCAGCAATGGCCGGAATAAGCCATATGAGCGCATGGAGAATCCACAAATTCCATCCTTACAAAATTAAACTTGTTCATGAACTCAATGAGGATAATTTTGACCGAAGACAGGAGTTTTGTGAGGGCATGAGTGAGATATTAATGCAAAAGCCTGAGCTGCTTTATAACATCTGTTTTTCGGACGAAAGCTCATTTTATTCAAATGGTTGCGTGAATCGTCACAATTGCCGTTACTGGTCGGATGAAAACCCAAGACAATACGCAGAAATACATACCCAACATCTCCAAAAGTTGAATGTCTGGGGCGGAATATACGGCAATCATATTATAGGTCCATTTTTCATTGATGGAAATTTAACCGGCGATTCTTATTTACAACTTCTTGAAGAGGCGATACAACCTCATATAGTTGAAATAATTGAACAGGATCCAAGATGTCAAGATGAATTTATCCATTTTCAACAAGACGGTGCACCACCCCATTATATCCAGCAGGTTCGAAATTTTTTGAATAATCATTTTGAAGGACAATGGATTGGCAGAAGAGGTCCAATTGAATGGCCAGCACGATCACCAGATTTAACCACTGCACTACTTTTTGTGGGGATATTTGAAGTCTAAAGTTTATGCTACACAGCCAGCCAATTTGGATGAATTACGTCGTAGAATTATTGATGAATACCAAGCTATAACTCCTGAGATGTTGAATAATGTAAGAGCAAAATTCGAACAAAATCTTTATTGTTGCATGGAGCAAAATGGCGCACATTTTGAACATTTACTCTAAATTTCCTATGTGAGTTACCCTCATTAGGTGTTATTTTTTTTGTGTGTGCTTTAAAAACAATTACAGTTTTTTAAACTTTTCCCAAAACCAACCCCATCCCCCGAAAAAAATCTCCTCGTAATAAACAAATAATTCTTACTTTTTTACGAAATCAAATGGACACGTATTAGCAGGTTGTCATAAAAAGCAAAAATATATTTTTTTTTCTGAAAGTTCTGAACGTAAATTGTACCTTAAAAACGATTTGATTTATTTTAAAAAGAGTTGACTCAATAAAAATACCTTTAAATCTTCAAATTATCTCGAAAACTAATAGTTACAAAAATTTCCTTTTAGCAGAGTTATAAAGGTATCCGAAAGACCTTTGAAACAAGGTGCAACTCGACCTACTTTCCCTATCTAAATAAGGGTCGTCGGACGCACCCCTCCGAGTGGGTGCGTACTAAAAAAAATCTGATTAGTCTGAAAGGTGTCCCTTTAATTAGAAATTGACGTGTCCGAGCTTTTTTTGAAAATCTTACTTTTCATATTAAAAAACGGCAAGAACCTGTTAATATTACTCCGCATATTATTCCGCATAAGCGCCGCTCTAAGAGCGGCGCCTATGCGGAAGTAGCGATTCGCATTGGATTTGATTCGCTGGAGATTGGAAAAACGTTCTCAGGAAGTTCATTCCACATAAACGCAGTGCTCCAAATGAAAGAGTTTTTAAAGTGAAGTTCGAGGAGTACTGAGTTGAACTTCAAAACAATGAGCAGCCACAATCCGTCGAGTATTTCTGATATTTACCGCTCTTGGTGGAATCGAATGTGCCAAGTCACTTGAACACTTTCCGTAAAAGTATCTATAGAAGAGAGACAAATCTCCAACTCTTCTTCAATGTTCCAGGCAATCAAGGTTGCACGTGATGTTCGCGTCTCTAATCAGACGGATGGCTCTCTTCTGAATGGAAACCGGCAACTTCAGGGCATGTTTGGGGCCGGAGCTCCATACATGACAACTATACTCCAAAGAAGGTCTGATCTGAGCTTTATAAAGCATCACAAATTCCTGAGGTGTGTTCCAGACTATCAAGGTTGCAAGTGATGTTCTTGGCTCTTTTCCAGCAAATTCAGAGTATGTTTACATAAGAACAACACTCCAAAGAAGGTCTGATCTGAGCGTTATAAAGCTCAGGCTGCTTCTGAGAAGCAGCCTTTGTGATTCCAGCGACTTGATTGTCCCAAGACATATTGTCAAGAGAGTAAGTCGTTGATATACAATGAAAAGATGGGTTGGCGACAATATGGATCCCTGGGGAACACAAGCAGTTATGGAAAATGTATTCGAGACATATCCATCGATGGCCACTTGCAGAAAACGTTCTTTCAGGAAACTGATGAGCCATACTCAAAAACGATCCGACAAGCCATAGCATCGAAGTTGGCTAGCAAATCCTCATGCCACAAGCGAAACAGCTCTTGACTCTCCATGTTTCTCGATTGCGTGATTCCAAATATGGGTGACATACGATAAAAGATCGCCTGTTGATCTTTATTTCCGAAAGCCATATTATTGATCGCTCAAGAAGTTTACGACTTTCTCCATGATCTTTTGATATCACTGATAGCAAAGCTACTGGCCTATAGTTATTTGCAAGATTTTCCTTGCCCGGAAAAGCAACTTCACATATTCCACTATATATGCGAAAATCCAAATGGTTCTGTATACATTCTCATATGAGGTGAATGATTGTTAATTTCAAAGAATTGAAAAATATATGTCGTAGTGACTGAAATATTATTTCAAATCTCTTGAATCAAACACGTGTCGTATAAGTTTTCATTATTCACACATTCACACAAAAAAACTTTCATGCAGTGAATATTCTATGATTCACTTCCTGAATATTTTTTCTCAACTAACCTTGACAGTTCTTCTGCTACTGCATTAATCGTTACATTCTGCAGCATATCCTGAAGATTTGAAGCCTGCCTTCTAATTTCTACTCCAGACATAGAAACAACACCATTCGTAACCGGTGATATAGGATTACATACATAATACTGCCCTCCTGGACCGCTCACTTTCATTTGACCGCTCTGTCCTTGCTGAGCTTGCTGCGGCCAGAAGTTTGGCATGTATTGTGCCTGCTGGACTTGTGCCGGCCATTGGCTCGCCGAGAACTGTACAGGTGGCACCAAAGAAGGTTGTGTGTAGGGATACATGGGAGGATTTAAGACGAATTGGGGAGATTTTGGAGTATCGGCTGGAACTATTCGCATAAGTTGGGAAATGTCAGGTACTCTATATAGTTGAGAGTATGGGTTAGGGTTGGCATATGGGTAATAACAGGGGTTGTAAAGGGTTTGTTGGTTGTTCGAAAGTTCCGGTGGTGATGATTGTTGCACACTTTTAACTTTGTTTGGGGTGTCATTTTCTTCTGCAGTAAATCTCTGCCTGCCTTGTGTATGTTGTGTCTTTTTGAAATCAGAAGCTATGTTGTCTTGTTCATAGCGAGTCGAGGTGGAATCTAGAAGTGAACTTTTGGTAGTTATTGACACGCCGTCAGTTGAAAAATTGAGGTAGTTCTCGTTGCTTCTTTCTGAAGTCAATTCACTATTTCCATTATAGTTCGCAATACTCCCTTCGAAAGTTTCAGGTGGTTTTGAGTTAACGGTTTCAGATGCTATTCTTGTCGAGTTTGTTATGTGAGCATCGTATGAATCTAATGACATTGGTTCTAGATGGGTAATGGTTTCATTACTTTCACTTTTTTCTTCAATTGATTGCCCATCATTGTAGGCTGATGAAATTGTTGATATTTGGTAGGTTGCAACGTCTATATTTCCATCAGAAATTGTTTCAGTTTCTTCGGTATTGCTTCTAGTGGACTGAGTAATGGCCTCAGATGAAATTGAAAATATTTCAGTTGTAACTTCTTCATGAATAATCTCTGTCGTTGCTGTTGTTGCTTCGAAATCTGAAATGTTATCATCAAAAGGATATTCCAATCTCAATCTTACTCTAAGAGGAGCATTTTCTGTTGTCATTTGTGGGTATTGGTCTGCTAAGTTTGGATTGGTAGTTGATTTTTCTGCTGCTGCGAAGAATTCCGGAATTTGTCTGTAGTGTACAGAAAAATTTGTTTCATATTTGTTAGTATTATCAGAATTGATATTTATTAGAGCAGAAGGATTATCATATGCTTGAATATTTTCTTGTATATCAGGAATCATAGATTCATATGTATTTATGTAATGAGGTGGTAGAAACTGTGTTGCAGCAGGAGTATGAAAGTTTTCTTTCGAAAATTTATAATCTCCCTGGTTTTCTGAAAATCGACTATTTTCTTGTTGGTGGTCATAATATGTTTCTCCATAATTTGTAACCTCATTTTCAGATTTATAATGACCATTGTTGTAGTAATAGTCATAATAGTAGTCCGGATATACTTCTTGTATTACGTCACCATTGATATGATTCACTTGTCTTCTTGAAATTTTGGTTTCAATTCCTCTTCTCCTCCTTATGTCTATAAAATTATTTGGCGATGACTCTTGTTCGTCTTTGCATAATTCCAGAAAATCATCATTGGTTTCGGCATTTGAAAAAAAACTGCAACAATTTTCGACGGTATCTGTTTCTAAACATTTCAGTACCAGGTACTCCAGAGGATCCTTCGAGTCATCGATTATTAGTTCTTTCGCAATGTCTTCAGTTTTGACTGCTGTATGTGGGGTTGGAGGTTTCGTTTTGAAGAGGTATGTTTCTGAAAAAAAAAAACGTAATTTTATAGAAAGAACAAAATTTGTTTTGGCAGGTCATGATAGAAAGGAACTTCTAGAATCCAGCATTCCATCTGCTGCTGCGCCAAATATCTTCAATGGTGTAGGCTTTGACATCAAGATCGATGATAGTCTCAAAGAGTCTCAGCCGCAGTATCAAACGAAACGCTTGGTACTACAAGTTTGAAATTTGTGAATACATTGTAGCTTGTAGCTTGTGATGCCATCCCTGAAGTCTTTTTGTTTATTTCCAATACGCAAATGCTCTGAAGTGCGTAGACGAAACTACATGGACCATACCAATCATTAAAATTGAGAAAAGGCTCGTACAATTGGATAAAAATAACACCAACCACAGGCTAATCAACGCTAATTCAACAACTCTTGCAGCAATACGAAGACTATATCGCAATATACATCGACGCATCCAGGTCAGAAGGAGTAGGGGTAGCATTCACCAATCCTAACTCCAATTGAACTACTATTCGGAAGAGCTACTATTATGGAGAGCTACTATTATGGAGAGCTATTATTATGTAGAACTACTATTATGGAGAGCACTTGGAAATGCAGAGAAAAGCGAGCATTCAAAAGTCTTGGTTACAACCGACTTATTGAGTACACTCGAGGCAATAAAGAAGCTAAACTCAAAGCACCCAATCTCACTTCATATCCAACATACGATCCACGCATCTAGATCAGAAGGAGTAGGGGCAGCATTCACCAATTCCAACTCCAATTAAACTACTATTAGGAAGCACTGTGTTCCCAGAAAAATGTTATGCCCTATGGAGAGCACTTGCAAATGCAGAGGAAAGCGAGCATTCAAAAGTCTTGGTTACAACCGACTCATTCAGTACACTCGAGGCAATGAAGAAACTAAACCCAGAGCACCTTATCTCACTTCATATCCAACATACGATCTACTCACTTATCAAGAAACCTAAATATATCAACTTTATGTGGGTTCCATCACATGCTGGTAAAGCCGGCAACGAAATGGCCGACCAGTTGAGCTAGGTTACCTCAGAAGTGAGTGGGACAAAACTGACCCACCACCGCAACCCGCAACGTTTTATTGTGGCTCTTACCTATCAACACTCAACCAAATAAACCAAGCTTCTTAACGAAGCCGATTAGTTTGTATGTTGAGTGGCCTTTCATGTCAGACGGTAAAAGTATGGCTCTGCCAAACTCTGAAAATCTGATTCGGTCCCCAGCGGGGCAGGCACAAAGTATGTGCTCTGCTCTTTCATCATTTCACAAACAGAGGCGTCACACACGGTATTCCGAGTATTTGTATATGATGATTCAGATGACAGCGACCTGTGAAAAGGCCTGTTATACATCGTAGTTCATCCCTACTATAGTCGAACAACTCTTTGGTATCAAGCTTCGAAGGTTGAATAAACGCCTTGGAATGGGTCAGTTCTGGAAGATTCTGCCAGAAGTCCATAAATCTTCTTGCCATCCAGGTGTTTAATATTTTTTCAGCAAAGCCTAAAGCGATACTAATGACAGGTTCTGGTCCGATGAAGCTGATTGCAGCATCCTCCTTTGCAAGAGAGTCAGCAGTCTCAGTGCCTTCCAGACCAGTACGGTCAGGAATCCAGACCAGAGGCAATCTGTTAAGTCTTCCTATCGAGGATAGTCATTTTTGGCAATGTGTTACCAATTTAGATGTTGCTCAGTAGGAGCCAAGAGCTGCCAACGCCGCTTGACTGTCGGAGAATATCGGAATATCGATTTGTGTATAAAGTTGGATTCTTCCAATCTCTCCGAACACAATATAATAGCGTGAATTTCCGCTTGAAATACAGTCACATAGGTTCCTAGGCAGGTTGACATCTCTATCCTGAATCTGCGGCTGAAAACACCTGCACCAGAACCTGAATGTGTTTTCGATCCATCTGGGAACTAACAACCTGTGAAATATTTTTCTTTACCTCAAATTCATCAAAATATGTGTACTGTTATTTCCAAATTTATAGAAAATACCATTTCATCAGTTCGGACTTCATTGTCTAATTTATTTGATAACCCTGAAAAAAAATCAAAAAGATTAACCGAAAATAACAATTTTATTAAACAAAAAACTGAAATTATAAAGAAATAACATACAACAACCAAACAAATAAAAATTGAAATATTAATAAAAGAAAAAAAGAAAAAATTTAAAATATTATTAACAAAAAATGAAAAAATAAAAATCAAAAGATTTCAAACCAAGTTATGTCACAACGTTTCGATTGTTAGTATCCACAATCGTCTTCGGGTGATCACCCGAATGTTTGATAAAATTGTTATTTTCGGTTAGTCTTTTTGATTTTTCTTTCTGGGTTATCAAATCAATTTATATTATATTAGATAATGGAAGTCCGAACTGATGAAATACACCACGAAACATTGTCAACCACTTTCAAACAAAAGAAAATACCATACCTGGCACAAACATTTCTTTTAAATCTCAAAACAACTTAAGTAACTTTTTAGTAAATTCCAAAGATAAAATTAACAAATTACACAGAAGTGGAGTCTACAAGCTTGACTGCTCTGATTGTTCTGCATCTCACATTGTTAGAACCTGTAGATCTCTTTTTACTCGTATTATTGAACATTTAAAAAAACATGAAAAATCTGCTTTCGGCCATCACATTAAATTTCACAATCATAACTTCAGTCTCAACAGAAATTCCAAAATATCACATAAAATAAATAATGAAAATTTCCTCAGACTGGCCTTGTTTAAAGAGCTGGAGATTTCCAAAGAACTTTCCAATAATGATCATTGTTTAAATACTCAAGTAAACTCAAACATAGATTTTTCTCCTTCATAAAAGGATTATGAAATATTAATTATTCAAATTCATTACTAATATACTTTATTCTATATTGGCTTCTCCTCAATTAATTATTTTAAATCCATAATGGATCACTCCTCAAGTTGGTACCATTATTTTCAACATGACACTTGACACATCCTGTGGTAAGTTGCCCTTCTTTCATATAATACTTTGACTGAACCACATGACCTCAATTCAAAAATGTATTTTCTTGGCTATCAGCCTTTTTTGTTTTACATAAGTCAAATATTACAAATGTGCCATGTACTCATTTTGATACTTCCTGTTGCCTGACAAGTAAGTAATCATAAACGATTTTCAAATTTCATAACCTTTAAAAAATTTTTGCAACTTTCAATTTTCACAAAACTTTCTTATCAATGAGATCACTAACTTTCAGGTGAGCGCTTTGCAATAATTTTATAATTATACACTTTCATACAAAGAGCTCTTCGATTCATTAACAACTATTTGCTCCTGATATTTCCTTTTCTCGGAGTATCCAGTCCTCTCTACTCGGGAACAGTACTTTATAAGGTAGTTCGAAATTGACAGTTGAAGGCATGAAGTCAGAGGACATTTCGAGAATGCTGTGACTTCCAGTGTCAACCAACATTCTGTTGCACTCTGCCATTAATTGATTTATGCAATTGGCAATGTGCACAAGTCTATATGCAGTCCATCTAGCCTCTCTCTCCAGAAAAATGTAGAGAGGAGGTAGATCTAGAAGGCTCTTCATGGCCGCTGACGATGTGGCACTGATGACATCACTGATGTCCAGACAAGCTTGTCTTTGTAAGCCAGAGAGCTTTTTCTGATCCGTTTTCTGTAAAGTCACCATAAGTGATCATCGGCCTGACAATCATCACATAAATCCAATGGATTTGTTTGGGACCTAAGCCCACAAATTCTTAAACATGTCCATAGGGACAGTCTGACTTTGTGTAGAATTTTTTCCAAGTGAGCGTTCCAGGTGAGTTTTTATCAAAGACATTGCCAAGATATTTCAACTCCGTTCCAAATGGAATTCTGTTTGACAATCTGTTTGAAATCTGTTTTTCCGTTAACCAGCTGTAGCACCCCTACGAACGACAACTCTCAGAAGTCGAAACTCACCGTAGAGAGAAAGTGGCGTTAAATCGTACAAGTTTCTCCTCCTGGTGAAGGGAATTATCACAGTTTTTCTGGGGTTGATAGACATCTGCTTCCTCATGCACCATCTGTGAACAACGTCCATCGTGCTTTGGAGGATATTTCAAGCTACCCTTCCCGACGCGGACCAGATTACAAGGTCATCTGTATAAGCTTGCAGATCTTATTTTCTTCTGTCGAGAGCATCAAGCAGACTATCCATCAGGAGCGATCACAGAAGGGGAGATAGCACCCCACCTTGACGGCAGCGCAATAGCCTTGTTGTTGAGGAATTAGTAAATTTTCTCTACAAGGTAGTTTAATGCTAAATCTGTCGATTTGTCTGTTGTAAGACTGATTGGTCCTACCGATTTAGAGTGTGTGAATACCACCCTTGCTGCAAACCGACTGGGTGGTATATAGACCCCGGTAGACTAGCTCTACACAATTTTATGAGAATAGGTAAGATTATTCCCAGTCCGTTTTGAAGAAGAGCTGGAAATATACTATCCTCTCCAGGGGATTTGCGGGACTGAAACTACTCGATAGCCCATTCAACTGCCGGTGCTGTGATAACCTCAAGATGTGAGGTCTGTTGTTATCAAGAGTCAGATTTCCAGGAAAGTGGTTTCCTATCAAAAGAACTAGAGGTTGTAAATGTTCTATTGGGTCGTTTAAGCGACCCCATTTCAGCAGTCGGCTCTCTAGCCAGAATCTTTTGAATAATTGTGCTGCGAGGAACCTGGAAATCACTTCCAAAAACAAGGAAATTGCAAGTTATCCTGTCATGTCTTCGACTAGAGCACACTCGCCTCACTCATGAATACATTCTCAGCGGAAATCACTATTTATGCCATAGTTTGTGACTGTGTCAAACATATTTTATTTGAGTGCGTATCTTACTTCAACATCTCCTTCAATCCCCCTCAAATTGAAGCAGCGTTAGGACAAAATTACAATTATAAAAAACTAATTGTCTTTCTAAGACGGATACAGTTGCTGCACCGTATATGAAAATTTAATGTAAGATAGATAAATTGAAATTATCGCTAATAACCCCCGAGGTTGATACAACATTAAATACATGTAAATGAAAAAAACTTCGGGAACAATAAACCTCACTCTGTGATCTACTCATTTCAGTGGCGTATTTATTCAGCGGAAAGTAATGCAGACAAAGTTACGTTGAGGTTTTCAGCTTTCTTTGGTGATTTATCATTAATCTGACATATTTTTGATGACGATTTGTGATGGAATTGACCGACAAATTATAAGAATCCATGTTAAATAAATTTCATTGCAAAACAGCAATGTTTAAGGGTTATTATTTGATTGAGTTGTCATTGTCAGAGTTCTATTTTGTGTAGATTTTCAAGAGATATAGTTTTATTTGAGTTGGAAGCCAAATGTCTGTGAGTAGTTTTATTTCAATGTTGAAGTAGAATAACAACAAGTTGGTAATATAAACTAGAGAAAGAAATGAGATTTCTCCTACCTTCATTAATGTACTCCAAGATTCCAAAAATCACAAGAACTATTATATTCACGAGGAACATGTAAAGTAATATCTTGTACACTCTGTTCTTGCATTTTGTCTTCTCCTTGGTAAAACTCGCCTCTGAAAATATAACAAGTCATTATAGATTATGGGTTCGGAAAATATTGTTAGATTGATAATTAGAGACGAATATCGCGATGAAAATAAATTTCAACAGTAATTTTATCCTCATTATGAAGTTACGGAAGGGTGAAAGGGTTAGATATTTTAAGTTTTTGTTTTTGAAAAATTCCGATTTCGAAAGTCGAGATTTTGAGTTCAAAATTGAAATCTTATCAGAAACCAAAATGAACTTGAAGCCTTCCTGCGCTTATATATAAACGGGAATTTTTAAAAAGGTTATATTTTCATGTTCATTGTGGAATATATTGCTTGAAAAAATGGATGTGTTTTTGTTGAAACATTTTATGGAATTAGAAATATAATAGAATAGGAGAAAGAATAATAGAAGAATAATAGAATTTTTATTTCATTGTAATTTAATTTTTTTGCTTAATATAATTGTTATTTTTCAGCTAATCTCTTTTTTAATTTTTTTACAGATTCTTTCAGGTATTTCAAATCAATTTATATCATATTAGGCAGTGGAAGTTCAAACTGATGAAAAGCAAATAGTGTGCTTGTGGTAGTTCTCTAACATCTGTGGAGTGCATGCTATCCTTATTGAATCTTTCAAGTCTTCAATATTTAATATGTGTGATTGATGACTTGTTTATTTTGTAGTAATTCATGATCATTTCAATGAAATGAATAAAAACGTCTAATTACTACTAGTTAATTTTATTTATACGACCGATTTCGTGTTTAACCAACCCCATTATCAATCAATCAAAATGTGAAATTTGATAACACGTTTATATCATGAGTTTTTAGGTGAGATGGAAAAACAGGTGGTTGAACGAACCAGGGTACCAACTTTAAAATTCAACAATGGGGTTCAGTTCCGTTTCCGATGTGGTGGTAAACGGACTTGCTGATAGCGACCGTTCACAAAGAAGGTAGGTGGACACCATTGTTGGAGACGGAATTCAGTTCGTGTTGTGAATGTCCGCCGTTATATAACGTTAATTAATAATAGTTTTAATAATAACTTTTTGAGTGTTTCAAAATAGTAGTGCTCTCATTCACGCCGGTTGTAGGCCGGGGTGGACCGGATGTTCACGTGGGAGTGCTAAAGTGGAATGAATATATAACGCCTGCTTCCATTCACGCCGGTTGGAGGGCGGAGTGGACCGGATGTCCACGTAGGAGTAGGATCGCAACAATTAAAATGTTATGAAAAAGATCATTCTCTTTTATATGTATTGTTTATGTTTGCCGTCGGAAGACGTGCCTTGAAAATATATTAAGAAGCATTAAAAATGGAGTACAGTATTGCAACACCAAGACTTCTGTACTCCCACGAGTAGACATGGCTTACTGCGCCTGGATGGCAGCAAAAGCCAATATTAGAGAGAGAGAGAGAGAGAAGATTATAGGGGTTGTTAAACTTATAAATTCAAGAGTGGACACCTACATAAATCGAGTTGCTCATTTGAGGGTATATATTTCTGGTTTTTAATTGATTCGTTAATTTTCATGGGTTCCAACATATTCATTTTTTCCCTTTAATACATATCTGTAGGATTTTCAGGTTATCTTTACTTATTTTGGGTTTTGTTTCTTGAAAATGTTCGTACATTGTAGATTTTTTGTCCAAACAGACGTGTTTACGGAACCTTACGTCAAAATTTCTATTGGTTTGACCTGTATCTACTGCAGAGCATTCGCCACACTCTATTCTATATATATCCGTTTTTTTTATAGAATGGAGTGTGGTGAATGCTCTGCAGTATTTACAGGCCAATCCTACACATATGTGATGAAGGGAAAAAATGAATTTGTTGGAAGCCATGGAAATTAACGAATCAATTAAAAACCAGAAATATATACCCCTAAACGAGCAACTCGATTTATGTAGATATCCACTTTTGAATTTATAAGTTCAACAACCCCTTATAAAATTCAACAACTGAACTGTTCTTCCACTTAACCCTAAAAAAAAATAACCAAGTTTTTAAATTTCACATTTCAGTTTCATACTTGACAATGGAATTAAACCCGAAAATAGTCGTATAAATAAAATTGACTTGTGGTAATTAGACAAAAGCGTTTTTATTCATTCCATTAATGTCCTCAATATTTTTAAAAATTTTTTCCGGATAATTTCTTTTATGAAGCCCCAGAACGAAAAATCTAGAGAAAGGTCCGGTGAACGTGGTGGCCATTCAATAGGAGCATTAATTTCTATACATCTTCCTGGTCTACTTTTATTAAGGAAATCTCTGCATATTCTACTGCGATGTGGTGGAGTTCCGTCGTGTTGGAAATACTCATATTTTCTTAGGCTATGTGGCGAATCTTCCAGAAACTCAGAGTCCCTGATAAGAAGTCCAAGTATAATTCTCCGGTCAAACACCATATCTCTCTTGAAAATTAGTAACTCTATGTGAATAATAAATTTTTTGTCGCCAGTATTAGCGTATATCTATTCCTGTTGAACCATCCGTTATTGGTAAATCTATTTTCGTCATACCACAATTTTTTTGCAAATTTCATTATTTTGGTGAAATTTACTAATGAGCCATCTACAAAACACTTTTCTCTTGTTGAAGTGCGTCAATCGCAATTGATAGACTTTCTGACTTGGATTAATTCTTCTTTAAAATTTTCCGTATAGACGTAGTGGATATGGTCGAATTATGAGCAATCTCCATCACTTATACTTCCTTGATTTCAATTTTTTCATTTTCTACAAACCTATGTCGAATGATTGTCACTTTTTCATTATTGTGAATGTTTTTTTAACTATTTTCGATACGTTGAAAATATCTATGATTAGGATGTCGTTGTTCAGGATACAAGTCCTGATACATTGCCAAAGATTTGGTAGCATGGTAACATCTCGAATAAACAAAAAGCATATTCACTTTTTAGCCATTGGGAAAATTAATGTTTTTCCCTTAAAATCACACACTAAATTGAATAACTTTTTTATTCAGTGTTTGACAATCAACTTGACATTCATATTGAAATTATCAATCATCATGTTTCTCCTGAATATCTTCTATGACTTTTTTGATATAGTATTTTTACCAGTTAATGCTTTTTGATACTCATTTTCTGAACAGAAATATTCAAGTAGCTACAAATTTTCGAAAGACATTTGGAAATTATGAATGGATTTGTATTGATATAAAGAAATGGATTTCAGTGATTATAAATATTTAGGATCTCAATGAACGACAATAACCGACAGGAGAATGTGTTTCGATTTGAGTAACATTGATGATGTTGTGATATATCAATGAATTTTCAATAACAATGACTACCAAAATGTATAAAAAAATATACAAGTCTGTGTTTGAAAAAAATATGTTGATGATAGATTGCAATGAACGAAACGTCGCATTGGAAAATGAGTTGAACCAGATTATGAAAAACATGAAATGGAGCGAAAAGTTCTGTAATTTTTCTGATATTATTGAAAATGTAGGCAGTAGAGCAAAAAACTAAAATCAGACATTTTCAGTTTTTTTCGGAAACGGTTGGTGATTTCATCGATCAGGGAATACCATTATGTTGCATTCCTGAAAAGGCAGCTTTTGTTACATTTAACCTTCCTTGTAGAGCCTACTGTTTCCAAGATAGCAGTAGTGGTATCAGATAAAAAAACGGCCTGTATATTCATTGCAACCCGTTTACTTGAGGCATAGATGAGTGAATTCAACAACATAGAAGTTCAGAAACATCGGTAATTTGGATACTTCTCATCACCAGTGCTTGAAATCACACGGTAAAATGTTAGACCTCGTTAATCTTTCGTGTCACACGACGGCTGATTAATGTGGAAACAGATTTTAACATATTTTCAACATTGATTCCATTATGTCTATAACTCACCTTTCTTGGAAAGATTCAAATCGATGGTCACTAAATCCTGCGGCTCCTCAAACGGCTGAGGACTAGGAGTTGTATCACCATCACTTCTGAAACAAGTTATTTTCGGGGAAACCATTTCACGAAACACTAAATCATTCCACATATGAATACAAATCTCAATACAAAATGATTGGCATATTGCGATGCCATGTAAGCATGTGCTTGTCTAATTCGTCGTCAGCAAATTCATTTATTATTGAATCTAGTGCGATGAATATACTGTGTCGGCAAAAAAGTATTCCAATTCCCGGAATTACAGTGTGGAAGAACTTTGAACAAGTCTGGTGTTTGTAATTCGACTATTTCTCGAGGTGAGATTAATTTATTAAGTTTACTATTTCCGTTTCACAAATTGTAATTATTCATAGGGAAGCGAATATATTTGACTTTTTCGAAATATGAGCCTTCATGATAAATAATCAGTCAACAATATATTCAAAAGTGTAGCTTTGTTTATAAACAAAAATTACTAGGAAATGAAAAGGATTGTATAGGTCAATGAATCTTTTCAATTGAATTGATTGAAACGTAAGGTACAGGGTGGTGCAAATCAGGAGGTCAAAAAACCCAAATATAACTCATATTTATTATCAGTATTGCTGTGGTTCCTGAGACTTTTTGACCAGTGCAGACTTCAGTTTTTGAATACTTTGTTTTTTCTTCAGAATTTTTTGGCAATAAGAATCATTATAAATTGATCCTAAGTGGTAGGAAATCATATTCGTTTATCTAAAATTAACAGAACATGATAGCATTCAGTTGAATTGTATATAAAAAAACAGTAGATTTGCAGGTATTATAGTCGTTCAAGTATAGCAGGGGTCTCCAAACTACGGCCCGCGGGCCAAATCCGGCCCGCCAGTGTCATCAATCCGGCCCGCGACTGCCAATGATTTACTGTCATTGATCTGGCCCGCGACAGCCAATGATTACCTAATTGTTGTTACTATTGCTGTGACAAGTTGAAGAAAACACAGAATGATAATTACTCGGTTTTATTTACTTGCAAGGTAAAACTTAACGACAGAAATGATGACAAAGAAAACTTAACTTAAGTATTCAAGTTCTAGCATATAAATAACTAACAAATAATTGAAATGAATCACAGTAAAACAAAAACACTAATTATGTAATTTCGATTTTCCACCGACAATACTTTGTAGTTGTGGATCAATTTTACTTGTGCCAATTATCAAAAGAGATTTAAGATGCTCATCGGTTGAGATCTGAGATCTTTGTGTACTTCATCTTGGAAAATGTTTTCTCACACTAGTAAGTAGTACCAAAAACAGAAAACCACCCACGAGTAAATTCATGCAAATTATCAAATTGTTCCAGTGGAAGACTCTTATAAAATTCCAAGAAAGATGAATTTTGATATTTGATCTTAAGCATATCACTGCACCGTAAATCAATAATTTCCATTTGGACTTCCGGAGCGAGGGTTTCAATGTCAAAATCAAAAGGATTTGGAAAAAGCTTAATTTCATTCGCAATGACATGAAAATCTGAAAAACGAGTATCAAAATGTATCTTCAAAGCACTCGTTTCGATTGCAAAATTGACGCGAAGTTCAGTCTCTCTAGTGTGGCTGAATATTTCACATGTTTCAAAATGTGTGAAACATTTTTTACGTAATTGCGATTGAAATAGTATTATTTTCTGCCTGAAGGATTTGATATTGGTGTATAAATCAGGGAGAAGCTGATTTACTCCTTGCAATCTCAAATTCAGTTCGTTCATATGATTTGTCAAATTGACATAGAAGGCTAACTTCCTCATCCATTTACTATTTTCTAAATCGGCAAAAGGGCGCTGCTTCTTATTTAAAAAAATTTCGATCTCTGCTAGAAGTTCAAAAAGCGCTTAAGGACTTTTCCGCAACTAAGCCAGCTTACGGCAGTATGATATGGTAAATCATTTTCTCCAATCTGTTGAATAAACTCGCGGAATTGTCGGTGATTCAGCCCAGTGGATCTGATGAAGTTAACAGCTGATATGACTGGTTTTAGAACTTCAGACATATCCAAACATTTTCCACACAAGGACTGTTGATGAATGATACAATGTAAGACTAATGGTTTTGAACCACCATCATTTTCTACAGCCTTTGACACAAGTGCAACCACTCCTTTATTTTTACCATACATATTTTTGCCTCCATCAGTTGTTATAGATTTCAAATTTCTCCATCGAAGGTTCTTTTTATTATTGGCATTTTCAACTCCCTTAAAAATATCTGTCCCAGTTGTCGTGCCGTGAATACTATCAATATCAAGAAGTTCTTCATACACTTCATAGCTTTTATCTACTCCGCGAATAAAAATCAACACCTGAGCAGTATCTGACACATCCGTTGACTCATCCAATGCTAGAGAAAACCACTCATGATGACCATTTTTGTCAGACAGTTGAGATGATATATTTTCTGCCATGTCTTGCACCCTTCGAGCCACGGTGTTTGCTGACAAATTGACACTTTTAAATAAATTTACTTTTTCGGGGCATATTTCTTCGGCTACTGCAATCAAGCATCGGTGAATGGTTTGCCACGTTTTCCGATTTCAAGAGCCACACGAAAGCTGGCGCGAGTTGCAGACTCTTGTTCAGTATTCGCTTTGGTAAATAAAGATTGCTGCGATTTGAGTCCGCGTTTCAAAGCTTCAAATTTTTCCTTCCGCAAACTTCCTGTATACTTGGAATAACTTTGAAGATGTTTCGATTCATAGTGTCGTTTAATGTTATAGTCTTTGAGAACAGCTATGTTTTCATTGCAAATTGAACATAGCGCCTTATTACTGGACTCAATCACAAAATACTGAAAGTTCCATTATTCTTGGAACGTTCTGCATTCACTGTCGATTTTTTGCTTCTTTTCCATACTAACAAATCACACATAAAAACAATAAGTCAAATCAAATACTTTTATCGACGGGTGTTACTGTATTTCACAATAGACAGTTTCGCTTCCTTCGCCTTTCCTACGCAGACTAACTCGCAGTTGCGCCGCAGTTGCAATTATTACTGCCATCTCGAGGTGATCGGAATACACTAGCTAGAACCAGAACTTTCTCGAACCAACGCGGTTATTTCAAATATTTAATTACGCCTAATGCCACCTAGCGGGTAGCTGAAAAAGATAGTACATAGTACAACTACTCGCCACTAGATGTCGTTAAGTGCCACAATATACAATAATAATTGAAATGCAAAAAAAAGCAGAAGTTTGCTTAGGTCACGCACTTTGCGACTATCCTAGTCTAGAAATATAGTTAAGGGCAGAAATTGGCTCTTGGAACAAACTGACAAAATCATTATGGCCCGAAGGCTTCAAACTTTGGAGACCCCTGATCTATAGAAATGGTAAGCAGTAAAAATAAACATTAACAAAAAGTAATATGATAGTACATACTCAGTTAATTGTATAACGCATATATACATATATGGACATATAAACACTTATACACATATATACATATATTCACCCAAAAACACAAATAACAGACAAATCATAAAGGATTTACAAATACTTATTATAGTGCTTGATCGACTTCATAATAGCATCTTTCAATTAAAAAATGTTCAAGACATTTTTTAAAACATGTTAAGGTTCGACTCTCTCCTTCATAGTCTGGTAATTTATCAAATAATAAAGGACCTAGTGAGTTTGGAGAGTTTTTAGATATAATTGGACCCTAGAAAAGGGCTACGAAAATTATGATCTCTTGTCATATGAAGATTAAATAAATTATTTCTGACAAGACCGAAAATGTTACTGCATAATCTCAGCGTTCGTGTCATTTTCAGCGTTCACCCCAAGCCCCCTAAATCTTATTAATAATAAATGTCCTAGAAAATATTAGCTCTTAAGGCCCGCCTGTGGAGGTTGTAAATCACGGCGATAAATCAAACCCCGCGCCGCGTTATCAGGTGCAAGCCCTGGATGGTTATATGATAAACTCCTGCAAACAAATTCCGCATTGTCCAGCAGCTCGTTGCTCGCGAGATCGTTCATCAGAGCCGCCTCCGGCCACCAGGGCTGGCGCGCGATAAAGAGGCAATGAATGAGGAAGAGCAGCGGTCAAGGGCGTACTCGGGATCAAAACTCAGGGGTAAATAAAGGTAGTTCAGGATGTAATATTTCAAAACGGAATAGGTGAATCTGTTTTAAAAAAAATCTGTTTTTCCGTTAATCAGCTGTCGCCCCCATACGAACGACAACTCTCAGAAGTTGAGAAACTTGTGCGAGCTAAGGACTAACGAGGTCTTACCTTTAACGTGTGATTCCTAACACGGTTGCAGAATCATCCCAGCTTCAACCAGATAAATTCTCTCGAGAAAAATATCTGGTCCAGGCAGGAATCGAACCCACGGTCTTCCGATCGTGAGTCGGGCGCACTACCACCGCGGTCAATTCCACAACTAGAAAAACCAAATATCAAAGTAATAAAACCAAAGTTTTGATAAATTGTACAAGAGTGTACAGAGTGGACAGATTTGGTAGATTCTTTTGGGCTCAAAATGACAATCTCTGATTATATCATAGTTAACCCATGATCCTCAACTTGCATTGATAACATATTAACGAATGTTTTGAAATTGTCGATCCTTGCCTGATCATTTTGCGCAATTCATTGTTTTGAAACATAATAAGAATCGTTCGACAACAGACGGTAAGTTTAAGAGAAAAATTACTAATAAAGGTATAGAATTGTCAAGAAAATCTCTTTCTGAGATAGATCGGAATCTTTTTTACAACATGAACTAACAAGACCTCACATCTAATTTAGTCAATACATATAGTTCAATGGTCCAAAAATACTTTCCTCTAAAAACTATCAAAAATAAAGAAAGTCATCCAGTTAATTTCTTCACAAAAGAACTAGCACAAATGAGGAACACCCTAGACTCCATAAAAATTGTTAGTGATTCGTCTGGTGATCCCCTCGACAAACATACTTTCAATGCTTTAAAAAAAAATAAATCCGCCTTATCCGAGACGAAAAAAAAATCCTACGATCAATTTCTTCAAAACTCACAGAACTGGGCCAAACATGCGTGGCTTCTGGTCAATTATGAGAGGAATCAAAATATCAAAACCACCCCATCAACTATAAGTCCTGATCAATTCAACTTTCACTTTAGTGGTATTGCAG